GGGCTCACATTTACAACCTTGCATCAAATCAACTCGTGCAGAAATTACAGGTGGGACATGGCGACGTCACTCAGATCTTGGTGAGCACAGAGAGCATCCTGTGCGGTACCAGCCAAGGATGGATCAAGGTAAGTCACCCACCTGGTGTCAGATACGGCATTGACATCTCGTTAGCGATACGACGACCATTTCGTAGAGGTCGAATCGTGGCAAGCGGCTGCTGGAAAGATCCTTGCGATGGGCTTGACAACAACCCCAGATCACGACATGCTCGTTACGGGAGGAAACGATCGTGTCGTATCCTTTTGGAGCGGCAAACCCGGAATTCAGGCATCTATAGCCAATTCTGCAAGGAGCAATGGTAAGTATCTGAACCACGTGCAGACATCGTATCTTGTGCTGAACAATAGCTAGACGAGCTCGTCAACGCTCTTCGCGAGTTTGTGGCATATCGCACAGTGGCCTTGAACGCAACGTGTGTTCGGGACTGTCATGAAGCAATCACGTTTCTACGAAAGAAATGCAATGCTTTTGGTGCAACAACCCGCCTCCTGTCACCTCAAGAAGGCGTCAACCCGATCCTCCTTGCCAGGTTTCCGGCATCCAAGCCCTCCAAATCAACAAAATCAATCCTCTTCTATGGCCATTATGATGTCGTCGACGCAGAACTTGACACCAGTAGCTCGAACCCGACGTGGAATGGAGATCCATTCGTTCTTCAACCGCTAGATTCCTACCTTTACGGACGCGGCGTAACCGACAACAAGGGTCCTATCCTAGCCGCCATCTACGCCGTGGCAGATCTGGTCCAGCATGGCTCTCTGTCTTGCAACGTGACATTTCTGCTTGAAGGCGATGAAGAAGCCGGCTCCCGAGGTTTCCGTCAGACGGTTCGATCTGCCCACGACGCCATCGGTCCGGTGGACTATATCCTGCTATCCAACAGTTACTGGCTCGATGACCACATCCCCTGTCTCACGTTTGGCATGCGTGGAGTCATTCATGCCAGTGTCAGTGTCACTTCGAACCGGCCAGATCTGCACTCAGGAATGGATGGCAAGTCTGTACAGCACGAGCCACTCAAAGATCTGACGGTTTTGCTCGCTACCCTTGTCGGCCCTTCTGGGACAAAAATCACAGTGCCTCATTTTTACGACACGGTTGATGAGCTTTCCGAATCAGAAGTCAAGGCCTATGCTTCCATTACCTCTTCGCTTCTACCTGGCCACCCAGAAATCAAAAATGAGAAGGCCTTTGCCCTTTCACTGATGCAACGGTGGCGATATCCCAATCTGACCGTCCATCGGATCGAAGTGCCTGAAGCAAAGACTGCCGTCACCATCTCTGGCTCGGCGAAAGCGACACTTTCCATCCGGATAGTCCCATCGCAGACGGCAGAACAGATTGCCCAGTCCCTGACGGAATACCTGCACGCCGAATTCGCCAAGCTCCAGAGTTCAAATTCTCTGAATGTCACAATCACATCGAAAGCAGATCCATGGCTTGCCGATGTGAAAAGTGAGATCTATACGACTCTTAAAGACGCCATCGTTGATGTCTGGAACCCTGATATTGCAGCGCATCAGCAACGGGCATTCAAGGTGTCCGCTAGTGGCAGCAACGTTGAAACTGCCAAGGGCGCATCGCCATCTTCTAAGCCTACATCCACTTCTTCGGCTTCCAAGGCTGCCGCCTCATCGTCAACAGCAGCTGAAACCCCAGCTCGCACGTCACATCGCCGCGCATCCTCCCTCGCCACAACAGGCTTCTTCCCACCGTCCACCCTGCCACGAGAGCCCCTGTTCATCCGCGAAGGCGGCAGTATCCCTGCGATATCGTTTCTCGAACACGAATTCGACGCGCCTGCCGCCATGTTCCCCATGGGCCAGGCGAGCGACAATGCCCATCTAGATAACGAGAGGATGCGAGTGGAGAACCTTTACAAGGGCCGAGAAGTTCTCAAGAGGGTGTTTGCGAGATTATAGAGCTGGACAATGTAAGAAAAACCACAGATAAAGGGCCTCGTGATTTCTGGAGATGGGCTATTCTTGACAATACATGTCGTAGCTACCTAGCTAGGTACCTAGGTCCCTACATAGTTGGATGATATGGTGCTGCGGATTGAATGTCAAGATGTCAAGATATTGAGTCTCTCTTGCTTTCTAGGGTCCCATTTCGAATTCGATTGCTAGCCACGATCGTAGATTGACACCATGATCCGCATTCGCATTCGCATTCGCATTTGCATTCGAGATTGATCTCCTCATCTCCTCACAAGGCATTAAATAGGTCAGCCCAGACCTTTCCACATATACTCGCTCTGGCGTAACATACGTGTGGATTTATATGTCCCTGACTTCCTGAGAAAAAATCCTCCCCTTTTTTCCCAAAGGTCCAAGATCCAAAGCCAGAGGGGACAGAAAACAATTTCAAAACTGATAACAGCAAAACAAAGAGTAACGCCGTGTCGCTATGCAGTGAATATCTCAACGAATTCAAGGTCATGCCAGTGTCCAGTATAGGCCGTGTTGTGCTGTGCTGTCGCTGTCGTTGTCATATCGTCGTGAAAGGATTCATGTCGGTTGGTCCGTCCGTCTGTCCGTCGGTCCGCCCTCTGTATATTCCGGGCTGCCATCTTGCCGTCTGATCCAGATCCTCCTTCTCAAAAAAACGATTTTTGTTTCCTGGTATGTGGTGTGGTGTTCTGCTGTTCGCAGATCTGCGCAGGGGCTGACGCGTCATTTACTTCTGGTGAGGAACGTGGCGGACAACCGTAGGATCAAGTCAACGACTTGAGCCCTCCTCTTTCATTTTGCATGTGCATGTCTCCTCGATATAGTATCTGGCTTTTCCATTTCTTCCCGTATTTATTTCTGGAAGACGTTGCCACCACTCAGATTAATGCCGCCGAATGTCCACTGCCCAGCAGCCCAGATCCAGGCGGCCAGTTTTGGTTTCTTCCCGTCCTTGACATCATTCACAAGGTCCGTCACTCCCTGGAAACTCGATTCGCTGCGATCGGAGCTCCCCTTGGAATCTCTCGGGGGGACGGGGGTGCGGCCCACAGGGTCGGTGACGCCGTTCATGGCGTCGACGGCGGCGATCGCGGGGCCTTCGTCGAAGAAGTCTACGAGGGTGAACGTGGGTGGTTTGCCGTATGCCGAATTACATTGGGACAGGCTGTATCCGAGATTCCCGACGTTGTTGCCAGGCGCGTTGGTGGTGGTGATGTTGTCCACATTGGGAGTCTGGATATCGAACAGGCCTTCCACGTAGAGGAAGTGGTTCATCAGACCCATCCGATTGGAGGCAATAGCCGCTTGCGAGTTTCCTTGAACGACGGTCGGCCGGTCGGGCAGGCAGCTGAAGTTACTGGGCGAGCTGTTGTCGAAGGAATTTTCGAATATAAAGGTGAACTCGTCCATGAGGTAGGCATATTGGGTTGGAATAGACGCCGGGTTCGAGAGAGAGGCCACAAAGACGAGAAGTCTCTTGTTGGCTGTGATCAGCTCTTGCAGGGTTGGCCAGGCACCCGACGAGGGGGGCGTGCTTGTCGAAGGAGGGACGTAGGCATAGTCTGTGATCTGTGCCGTGGTGAAATGTGCCCCCAACTCCTCTGGGGTGGCATTGTCCGAGTTGACCAGGAGAATCGTCACGACTTCATTGGGATTGTTATCCAGCCACGTCTTAAGCTCTTCCAGCCAGTCTGATAAAACCCCCGCATCCAACAGATCGCAGGAAGAATGGCACAAGTGGTATTCCCCGTTCGACTGGTGAACTTGGGCAGAAAGCAGACGGACACCCGCCGACAGCTGTACCGTCGAATTGTAGTATTGATTTCCCGACGTCGAAAAGCCGGTAGAGGCATCTCGGACAAAAGGTGAGTCGTGGGCACCCAGGTGGACGACACTATTGTAGGGTTTCGAGCACAGGGAAGGGGAGTTGTTGCATGCGGTCGATTGGCGTTTTGCCGCCAATACGTCGAGTGAAGCCGCAAATCCGACACTGAGGAGAGAGACGAGAGACAGAAGCGACCGTAAATGCATGTTTGCGAGTGTGGGAGAGAGGGATTTCGCAACTCCGTCGTAACACTGTGTCTCGTGCGGGATGTGGTATCTTCTCTATCCAATCTGTGTAGCAGTCAAGTTGTCCAAAAAAGAATTCACTCCACAAACTAAGAGATACAAAGGCAAGGCTGGGAGAAAAAGAAAGAATGCAAAATGAAAAGAGAGGAAAGGTCCGAAGTCCTGCTTCTAACCTTGACACAGCACTACCACGGACGTTGCCTTGCAGCGGCTGAGGCTTGGACAGATGTCAGAAGCCTTGTGCAGGAGACCTGGAGCCACCAGCCGCGCGTACGGAAACATTTGGCGGTGGCAGAGTCTAGCCTCGCCCCCAGATGCGGCAAGCCGATCAAGCAAGTCTCAAACTGCGCTGGATGAACCAAGGTTGAAACAGGGATGGGCAGATCCAATCGAGGTGAACAAGTCAGCGGCCAAGCAATGGGTTTGGGTGGAATTTGCCAGGGCGGATGCGGTTTCGGCCTGACATTTTTACTTGGAGGGGAGTACCTAGGCTGAGCATAGCCCACCAAACCCACTTTTTGAGGCTCCTAATTTTGGATTTGTTCAGGAAAAGGCCGATCTGGGGTGCAGCAATAGGAACAGAAGGCTTCGTACCGAGTACATCTCTGCGACAAGGTGCTGACACGGCCGCTTCCCCCGACGTTTGGAAACCTCCGCAGAAATCGGAGCCCGCATTAGACCTCTTGAGATACCTCGTGACATACACATCTGCGCGCAATCATGTAATGGTTGTGCAAGTCTATACCGAAAGAGAAATATCTTCTGGGGTAATTATGTTCTCAAGAATAGTGCGAGACGTGACACGATCAAGGGCAGCCGAGAGAAACATCTGCCACTCATCATGTCACATCTGTCATAAATACCGTCCTTCCACACTCCTTTGCACATATGGTACTTTGGGGCTCCCCTTGTCCATCAACCTCTCCTCGTCATCTTCTTCTCCTGCTTCTTCCGCGACTTCTCGTTCTCCCGTTCCAAAAACTTCCTCTGCTCCTCGGCGCTCATGCCCTTCATCTTTCGTTCTCTTTCTTCCTTCTTCATCTTGTCCAATTGTCTCAATCTCTCCTCTTCCGCCTCCTTGTCCGAAATCTTCTTTAGCTTGCTCTTTTCCTGCTCGCGAATCGAATTGATCTTTCTGAGGACTTCGGGTCGGAGGCGGGACTGCGAGACGAGGAAGTCAGGCAGGCGAAGGAAAGCAGCAAAGACAGGCAGGGTAGGGAGGTAGTTGCCGTCAGAAGGAAGACGGAGTGAAATTTGAAGCCGCTTCTTCGGAACCGTCTCATTCAAGTTGGTGGGTTTGTCGTGAGGTTGATCCGTGACGACGAGGTACTGGAAGTGGTCGGGCCCAGCTTCCTTGATTGCATCGACAAGCTCTTTGGTGAGCATCCAGTCACTGATTTCTGCAGACTCGCTCATACATGTAGCCCATTCGGGGAGTTTGGCGTGGTCCTTGGTGAATGTGAGAGAGATATCGTAACGTTCCTCGCGGAGTTTGCGCATCGCCAGCTTGTTCACCACGGCAAAGACGAACGGATCGTAGGTCGAGTTTCCCACGGATTTTGCCTTGCCCACTTCTTCAGATCCTGGGACGGCCGGTGGGACGAATTCCTTCTCCTTCCCATCAAAGGTGTAGATGACGGCTTCTATCCTTTCGGGTTTGGGCTTGACCGAATCGATAAACATTCCAGTGACTTCCTCAGCGAGCATTATCATCGGATTCATCCGTCTCTTCAAGTAGATCTGGATATCCATGAATGCGACGTTTTGACGTCCCGTCGCATACGACTCATACTCCCAGGCAGTCTTCTCTTTCAACAGATCTTCCGAGATGTTATCGCCCTTGTTCTTGACGGCCTCCTTGAAAAAGCTCGCATCTCCAGGAGACACTCCGCCGTCTGTAGTGGATTCGGTGTTTGGGATCGCGCCGTATCCAACGACCGCAAACTCTCGCTCCAAAAGAGGAGCATGGACACCCATCCACTTCTTCGCTTTGCGCCGGTTTGTCCTCGTTCCCCAGAAATGAACCAGGAGCGCGAGAAGTATGAACGGGATCAGGATTCCCTCCATCGTGAAGTCGGACAGCTGTGTCCGTTCCCACACGCGGTACCATTTCGTGTAGACCACCGGACGACCTTCAACAGCAGCTCCAGTTGCAGTAGCAGCTTGCGCATCGGCGGGGGAGACAGGGATGGAGGCTGGCGAGGGCGCAGGAGCAGCTGCAAAGTCTGCGAAATCTAGAAAGTCGACATTAGTTAGTGGGCACGAGACAATGGAGGGTGCTGTTTATTCACCTGCATCATCAGCAGCCACGGGCGCCTGGGAAGGCTTTGGGCCGAGAAGACCTTTGAAGTAGTCCATAATGACAAGGGAAGAGGAATGTTCTGGATCAAGCAAATGACCCGGACAGCTCTCCAAGCGCAGAAAAGGGCTGCGCTCTGTATTGCGTTCACGAAAGAGGGAGGGAGGGAGAGGTAGAAAAGACAGTGGCTTGCTCCAGCTCTCCACAATTTGTACAAAAAGCACTTAAGACTCGGTACGCAGAACTCTCTTAACGTCGTATTCTCGGTAGAACTGGCCACGAAGTCTCCGTGCCTGGCTACAATACCCAAACCCATGGGAAATGCAGCACTCGGGATATGGTTCTGGCCGTCTCAAATTGTCAATGCGCTACAGAGAATTAAAAATAGCGGTCCGCCAGCGCCTTGTTGATATCGTTGGAATTGTATACACTTAACAACGGTACATAGAATGGTAATAAACCCAGCAATCAGGATCCATGAAAGGATCCTAAGCATCATAGGAGTCTGACTTCTATCTACATCAACATCGTAATCCTCGTCACGCCATTAGTTGGTGGTACACCGCAAAAGAAACAGCAAACTTTTGGTGCAAAAGCTTCGCTAAAAGGAATTCAACACGAGTCACAAAAACATCATCGCGCATAGGCTGGAGGAGGAATCGTCTCTTCCTCGCGAGGCACAGGTCCAAAGCTGCCTTTAAGCCTTTCCTCTTCATACCGGTGTGCCATCTCATTGGCCATTTTCAACATCCAGGCGCGTTCGGCAATACTGCCCGCGTTGGATGCGTCTGCGACAAATTGAAGAAAATTTGGGAGAGCAGGTCGCGAGGGGCCTGCGATGGGGCGGGGCTCGGATTTTTCACCCACAACAACCTTGGGCTCGGCCAGTTGTCGAGGAAGGGGCGGTTCCTTCTGATCAAGTAGATACATCGAAGCCCGAGGTGTCTCGTCGTTATCGTAAGAAGGAAGTGTTCTTCGATTTCCAATACGCACGGTCGCGTTGGGGTCCTTGGCTCGTGGGGTCTGATGGATGTCTGGTGATGGTTCTTCGATCTCATCCATGGCCTCCTGTGGTGGAATACCTTCGCTGACACTTCGCATCCCTCCCTGAAAGTTTGCCGTGCGCTTGATAGCGATGGGGCTTCTTGGCGGCGTGACAGGATTCAGGCTTTGAGTCGGATCAGAAGACATGGTGGCAGCAGGCGCTGAGAAGACAGAAGGCGCAGTTGACGCACTTTCCGACACGCTGGTGGAATCAGCTGTCGAACCATCTTCGACGACCAATTCAGGTTCCCCGGTTTCCGGATGTGGGCGTAGGTCAACAACACGCTTCTTCCTCCTACGCGCTCTGTGTGCTTGCCCGTGTCTTCCACCACTCGTACTGAATCCATGGCTTGAGGGGAAGCTCGACAGAGTCGGCCGAGAGAAAGCACTGTCCAAGGTATATGCTGTCGACGTGCTCAGACTTCCAGCATAGGAGTGGCTGCGAGACAGGACTGGAGATGTTGTCCTGGTAAGAATGCCCGGCATCTCTCCTCTTTCCAAAGGACCTGTCCAGGCTCGGAAGACAGCATCTCGAATAGGAGGGGTAAACAGAGACAATGTGCGGTGAGAATCGGTCAAGGTGGCAAGTCGTAGGAGATTCTTTCGCGAGAACAGAGACTGTGTCTCGACGGATGAATCCAATGATAAAGACGCGACTTCTGCTGGGGTCAACACTGCGCCCGTAGAGTCGACTGGGTCTTGCGGTGGACTAGCCAACGGGTCAACCACAACTTCATCCCTTGATAACTGCGTGCTCCCGAGCTGACGTTCTTCTCGTGCTTTATCCTCTGGAACTAACAGCTGCAAAGAGAGTCGATGGATAATTGCGGGTAGCTCGTCCATCAAAAGTCCACGCAGCTGGGTTTCAATCTCTTTCTGAAGAAAGTTCGCAACAAAAGGTATTGCGTCAAAAGTTGAGGATACACGTAGAGACTCCAGAGGGTCGTTGCGAAAAACCAGTGTCAAGCCTTTTTGTCTCGAGAAGACCAGAATAATGAATCCGGACAAGCGGAACTCGGACAAGGTGATCTGGAGCGGTATCGTCAGGCCTGTGTCAGCAGCCAAAGGTCGTGGTGTAGCAAACGCCGAGCGAGTGCTAAGGTATGTATTCAACGGGTTTGCTTGAACTTTTGTCTTCAGTGTAAGATATGCGTTGCCTTTGTACATCATCTTGAAAGTCCCGCGAAATCTATCCTCTGCCAGATCTCCAATCTCCAATATCTCCAGCTCAGGGGGAACATCTCCCAGGTTGAGCTCATTAACAATTATATCGTCGACAATAATCGCAGGCTTAGGGTCGGCTCGATTGAGAGCATTGGTGAGGAGTTCTTGTGCGCGTGGCAGGAAGCCGGCGTCCGTGGACAATGGAGACCAGTTGAAGTTGAAGGCCATGGTTGACAAGGCCCTTGAAAAATGTTTTTATGCCTTAAAGTAAGGGGCAACCGCGTGTATCTCGCATTGTTTATCTTTGTGTATATGTGCTCTGGCTCGGATGCCTGGATTGCTCACTCAGACAGAGCACATGCGCGCAGCAGCCGGAGGTCGGAGGTAGGAGGGCCAACTGATGTGATCCGCTGATGCGATCGGCTGCCTTGCAGTGTCTGTCTGCGCACCACTTGCCGTTTGTTGAAAAGGAGGGAAATAGACAGACTGTGGTGAATGAAAGTGAAGACTTTGATAAGGCAAGGGGAATGTCACTGGGTCGGTGGTCGATGTTGTATTCCTTGATTGCTGGACCCCAGGACCAAGTACCGAGATTGCAACCAACAAATTCTTTGGCATTGCATTTGCTTCTGTCTCGCCTATTGTGGCCGTCACCTGAGTTTCGGAAAAAGCAGGCGAGGAACTCGTCTGAGTTGCCGTTTTGAGTGCCTGCTGCTTGACGTCACTCGTCACTCCACACAAGTGACAACCTCAGCCTTGTCCCTATCAACACCTTTGAGGAGTCTGTATATATCATGTCGGATCATGCGTAAACGAATGTTGGTAGGTATTGGAGCTCAAGACTGTATCGTCCTGGACCTCCCTGTAGCGATACCACTGCAGAGAGGACAGAAGCCCACTTGTGACATGGTCCATCTTCCCTGGATCCAACATCTGCCACACCCGCAACCGCTCTTGTACAATTCTTCACACAGCACAAAGACCTAAAGCGGAGCCCACATGGAGAATCTAGAAATTATTACATTAATATTGGTGTTACCGAAATTCTTCCACAATCGCAAAGACCCCTACTAGGAAAGAGACTACATGAGTCAACAAACCAAAACATGGGATAGAAAGAGACTTAACGAAGTCAATAAATGAAGGAAATGGTTCTAGTAGGCGATCCTCCTCCACTTCCTCCTCTATCGAGCGAGAGATATATCAGGTACCTGGCACCGAGCCAAAGGAGTCAATATATCACAACCACGGAAAAACCTGCAACAGCGGGTTTAACTTACCACCACCCCCTTCGAAAGGGGCTGGTGGAAAAAGTTTTTTGCATTCTCAGAGGACGTGGATTTTGTGATGGGGTGACTCTGTGTGTGTGGAAGAGAGATTGTTGTGCCCTAGTCACAGTTGCCCCGGGCGGCCTCCCTGACTCCAGCAGCTTTCAGATTGATCAGACCTTACGCCAAGGACTGCAAGACTTCGGAGGAAGAGACTCTTGCATGGTACAGAACGTAATTCACAGCGATTTCCAGTAAGAGGAAGAAGGCCATTCTCTATGAACTCCTGCAGTCTTGCCACAGCTCGATCATGTCATCTGGCAAGCAGCTTGGTTAAGAATACACACGTACGCGTGAGAGGAAAGGCGCCAGTAACATATGCGATTCCAGCATTCCAGACCTCCTTGGGCGTGTATTCATGTGCAGCGCAAGGCTAGGCCCTTTATCTTGACAAAAGAGAGCTTCATGAGCAGTACTGAGCAGCAGCCTCAGCAGCCCATTTCGTGGTTCATTTCGTACTGTTGTGCCCGGGGATTTGGTACATGGAACAACGGAATCGGCTTCCCTTCTCGCGGCACAAGGTAGGGATGGTCTTGAATTAGCAGATTCAGCTTCCCAGAGCTTCCAATATAAGTATGTAGGTTGAATAGTCATGTTTTACCGGAGTATGAGAAATGAAAAACGGACATGGCTGTCAGTCCAGTGTACAAGTACGTGACCGCGGCTACTCGAGCCAGTACCCAGCACAGGAACAGCTTGAAAGAGCAACGGAAGAAATGTCCGCAGGGCAAACGAGAAGACTTTACGAAGCATCTATCGATCAGGAGCGGATACACAGTATCGGTGGAATCTGAGCAACCTGATCCGATAATCTGTTCCCGGTTCTGGGCTGGATAAGACGACAAGTCACCTCACTCGACAACAACAGCACGCCACCCAATCGTCAATTATTCCTCTCCGTTTTATCTCCACCTCCACATCCACCTCCACCTCCGCGCTACTCTAATCGTACAACTTGGTCGCATGTTCAATGTTTATGCCCTTATCACTCTCACCCACCTGGGTCAAAGCCGAATGAAAGAGCCGAATACCCATCACTGAACGAAAGAACCACACCTTCCCTTTCCATCGTCTATCTCCCTTTTTTTGTCCCTCATCTCGCGCCATCCACCTCGTCTTTCGCACAATCGTTCTGCCTATCGAACTAACCAACCAGTTGATTACTCCTACCATATCTATATGAGTGGTTAAGTGCCAGTCAGTAATTAACCCTGCCGTCCGGTTAAATTCCAATGACGAACGACGTCTGGCCCGGGTTGCCTCTTACAAAGCAATGTGATACTGCATCGTGTTTCGCCCCTCCCTCGTCCTCCCCAAGAAAAATGCAAGACTGTCTCGAACTTGACGAAAGGGCAGGCTTGACGAGAAAATAGGCACTCGGGAAGAGGCCGACCATGTGTTCAATCCGGCTTTATCTATTGCGACCAAGGCAACGCACGAACGCTGAAAAGTCACCTTGACAAGTCCCTATGTCAACCTTCGAGCTCGACGGGTCCGTCAACGCGGATCAGGCGAGCGCTGCG